CGCGTTCTCTCTTCAGAGGCTTCGCAAGCTATTCCTCAAACTTTCAGTGAACGTGCATGATAATGAGTGGTTAGTGATCTACTGCATTTTGCATCGCGCTTCATGATGGTGCTTTTTGAATCAGAAGTTGCAGTAACGTAAGGATTTGTGTGTTTCGAAATACAAATCATTTTTGCAATAATTCCACTTTCTGCAAAAGTTGATTTATCTCATCCGCGCTGTTGCACGATTCCGCCTTCTAAAAAATCTGAAATCAAAAAGGTATTTTTGGGTCGAAGAGCAAAGTTTTTTAGAGTTGTGATGCCCTGCTTTACAGGCTATTCTTACCTCTTCTACAATGTATTTTCTTTCTGCCGTGAATTGGTGGAGCATGTGCCGCTGTTATTCGAGCAGATTTCTTCCTTCGCCTTGACTCCGCTTGGTTTTGATATTGAATTTCTTTTGAGTAGAAGCTGCAAGGGAAAGGAAATCCATTTGGCAACCCAAATGATTACTTTGGTCAAATTTTTGTGTTCAGACATTTATATGATAAATGATGTGCGTTTTATTTTCGATTTGCTAGAATTTATAGCTGCATACGACTTGGCATAGGCGGCCACAGTACATAACGGGAGTAATCATTATAAACGAAATAGACCGCCTCTTGAAAAGTCATTACAAGTGCTTAGACTAGAACTTTCCGGCCGCCGTCCACCATTCCATTATTAGACCAGAATTTATGAGCCCTGAAATCACAGAATTGACTGACCATTGTGCTCTCAAGCATTATTTGCGACAGTATTTCATAACTAATCCGGGTGGCAAAGTTATTCTTTCGGGTGGCAAAGTTATTTTTTTGTCTCTCTCCACATTTAGCTTTAAGGTCTTCAAAAGGTGTTAAGGCTTTATAACAAATATATTGGCCAATTTTAGCTATGGATCCATTTCAGCAATATCTATATCACAATCAATTCCTTTCCTCTTGTTGCGGCGTCCCAGCTTGTTGAATGAGGTGCATTTCATTTGTCTTTCTTAACACTACATGTATCAAATTTCAGTCTCGAATTTCATGTTGCTGGCGTCTCTGATATTTTTTATGTGTGTCGAAGTGGCTGTCAAAGGAGGTAGGAGATGTCACATTTGATAATTTTTTCACGCATATGTAACGCTGAATAGCATCATGCGCTCTTTAGTTATAGCAAAATACTGTTAGGTTGTCCTTTTTTTGCCTTTACAAGCCTTTTTGGACACAAATAGTAAGAAAGTGTCAGAGGACTGATAGGGTTGTCGCATATAGTTTGTAGAGGAAGTCCTCTAATTTCTGCGTATCTCATTAAACAGAGAAATGCAGAAGTCTAGCAGTAAGAAAGTTTGTAGGGCTATCAAGTCGACATGTGATATCGCGATATTTCTGAAAATTTGCATTCACTAAGCTCAAACTCAGATGTAAGGAGCTAAGGGGCAATCATCATGCACACTGCATTTACCAAACCTACACCTTCCTCAAGGAAGATGAGATTGGTTACAAAAAAATCTGTCTAGAACGCTAAAAGCTAATTGTAGTTGTTTGTGTAAGCCGCACTCGAGATTGGTAACAATAATTTATTGGGTGGCTGACGTTTCGGCAGATCGCCTTCTTCAGAGCCTGGAATGAGCAAAACGATCTGCAACCTATCCGATCAAACGTCTCTGCAGCTCCACAAGCAAAGTTCTAGGACTCTGCCTGTTCACTGACTAGACTGCCAAACCAAACACTTACCTTTTTGAAAATGCCGATAGCATACAAGTGCGTGAGCGAGCGCTAATGAATGGCCATGTATGCCACGCTATTTATATGCCTACAGTGAGTCAAAAGAGGTGACCCAGATGATGCGGGTTAGAAAACTCTGTTGCAATGGTGGAGATACCCCCAAATAACCTAAAAGGTATTTTGGTCCGCAATCGCATCTACGATCGCACCTGCACAACACCTAATTGCATTACCTGCCCTGCGGGCAGGGGCGGGGACTGCATGACGTCAGGGGTCATCTACCTAATCACCTGCGCGGGCTGCGGCGACACGTATATCGGCGAAACGGCGCGCCCTCTATGCGTCCGCATTAAGGAGCATTTAGACGGCAGGGATAGATCACGCACGACCACACCTCTAGGCACTCACAGGCTGCTGAAGCACGCTGGAGAAAACTTTGAAGTTTCAGTGAAGATCTTAGCGCATGAATCCCAAACATCAGCTCGCAAATGTTTGGAAGCCTTTTGGATTCACGCAAAAAGTCCACAAATGAATCGCAAGGAGGAGTGCCTCTCTATCACTCGTGAACTCGCACCTTATCTGGGTCACCTCTTTTGACTCACTGTAGGCATATAAATAGCGTGGCATACATGGCCATTCATTAGCGCTCGCTCAGGCACTTGTATGCTATCGGCATTTTCAATAAGGTAAGTGTTTGGTTTGGCAGTCTAGTCAGTGAACAGGCAGAGTCCTAGAACTTTGCTTGTGGAGCTGCAGAGACGTTTGATCGGATAGGTTGCAGATCGTTTTGCTCATTCCAGGCTCCGAAGAAGGCGATCTGCCGAAACGTCAGCCACCCAATAAATTATTGTTACCAATCTCGAGTGCGGCTTACATAAACAACTACAATATCTACGCCATGCCGAGGTTCATAGAGAGTCGAACAATCCATCTGCTAAAAGCTAATATTTTATCTTGGAAGGTTTTTCTGTCATATGACCGTGCAAGACAGTGGGAGTTTTAGAGCAAGTCTTAGATTCTGTATAAAGTTGCCAGGATACGAAATGTCACATAGCCTTATTCCAAGCCAATTTGCGAATGCTGCAGTGTAAAACAATAGCTCACACACTGTAGGGTATATGCAAAATGTGCTCTTCGTTGCTCATAATTCTAAGGAACAAGCCCATTCTGGCTTAGACGTTGTCTATGCTAAAAGATAGAAGCAGACTATAAGAGGCAATTTTGCGATAAATCATTGAGAACAAACACTAGAAGCTTAGCCATAAAGTCTATATATATGGCTCAAAGTCCGTTTGTTCGTTAACAAGTATGTTTTTTATGCAAATTTTTCTGAGTGGACTAAATGAGTTGAAACTTTGCCTTCTCATGCCTTCGATCCCGCCGCAGATAGCAGGTTACTTTTCGAAATAATTCACTCGGTCTTTTTATCGGTTTACTGATTTGTTCACGTATTTCTATAATGAAAGCCCATCTTTTCATAACTACGCATAGTCCCATAGTCATGTAAACAGGGGCGGTAAAGCTCCTTTTGGTCTCAGATAAACGAGGATGAGGAGAATCGAAGTGGCGATGTCTTAAGCTAAGTTATCCATAACATAGAAGAGGAGGGGTCCCGCTGCAGTACTATGCTAGGACCAGTGGCCGTATTCATCAACGAACCCTGAGGGTTAAACCAACCCTGAAGGGTAAGTTTAACCCTCGCGGTTCATTGGCCGTATTCATAAACGAACTTGAGCATAGGATAGGGTTTACCACGGAGCGCGATCCACCCGTAGCGATCAACGAACTTGCGGCCGTATTCATCAACCCTGAGGGTTAAATTAACCCTCAGGGTTAACATCAGGGTAGATTTAACCCTCAAGGTTCGTTTAGTATTCATCAAGCTGCTGAGGGTTAAACTTACCTTGGTGGTACAGCATAGCATTCACTGACGCTTGTTTAGTGAAGGCGTCAGTTACGCGTGCGCTGTGCAAACTCACATCACAGAATGCCTAAGTACGTGCTAAATTCACTTTATACTTCTATTCTTTCACCATTACAGTTAATCACCGAATAAGCTTCTAACGCTAGTTTTTACAACACATCTCTAGCATATTTGTGCAGCATCCAATCTTATAGCGTGAGTTTATTTTGCGTGTTATCATAAAGGGGTTCTTCTGTTGTGGCACTTGTCAGAAGGCAATGCGCAACCATTTTTCCTGGTCGCATTCACTTGTCACCAAAGCTAGAATTCTTTTTCGCAAAGTCAGTGTTTCATGTACTTCGACGACCACGGCACGATGGCCGACCATCGTACGATTCTCAGACGGAGACAACAAGCCGTTGCAGAAATATCGTGATATACGTGACTTAATTACGTTGTGATCAGATGCCTTTTGATGTTTTGAAACGCTACGTGAACTTCTGTGATTTATATTTTCTTGCTTTCGCGCCTTCCGTCCGCGCCTCACTGTCGTAAATTGATTACTTAATCTACAAGCTTTGTTACGGCAGTCATATTGTATGTTATATTCAGTATCTACTAGCTTGTCATTGCAAACGTTACTGTTCACTAGCCACTTAAGCCGCCAGGACACCCTTCCACTGTGCTTGATAGTCTACTTGGCGGCGCCTACTTTTATGTAAGCAATCCTTGATTCTGCGTGATACTGTTATTTGCTAGAAGTGAGCATTCAGGTTATCCACGCCCAAGACAGTGGCATAAAAGGGCCGTATACTCAGTTCCGGTGTTGGTTCGATTCACTATCGTCAGCTGCTGTTCCGCATATTCCCTGTTGATAGTCAGCGGCTGCTCCGCTGCTATCAAATAAACATTTATTAAAAAACAATTTGGTATACACTAAGCTGGTACCACTACGTTGTATGACTGTTTATTGGATACTAGCGCAGCAGCCGCCACCATCAACAGTGAATATGCGGAACAGTCGCTGACGACGATAGTGGTAATAATCGAACCAACACCAGAACTGAGTATTAAGGCCCTTTTATGCCACTGGCGTGGATAACCTAAATGCTCACTTCTAGCAAATAACAGTATCATGCAGAATCAAGGATTGCTTACATAAAAGTAGGCGCCGCCAAGTAGACTATCAAGCACAGTGGAGGGGTGTCCTGGCGGCTTAAGTGGCTAGTGAACAGTAACGTTTGTCAACGACAAGCTAGTAGATACTGAATATGTATACTATATGACTCCGCAATAACAAAGGTTGTAGATTAGGTAATTAATCTACGACATCGAATTTGAACAGCATCTATCTCTCCCCACTGAACAATGACCGGCTGGACCGGGGAAGCCGCTAGTACTCTTATAAGGTATAGCTGTGCAGTTAAAGTAGAGTACTGAAAACAGTCTATATCGTTTATTAAAAGTTGAAAATTGAGCAACTTGCACAAACTGCAAGGGGTGCCACCCTCATCCACGTTGACAACCATATGTAAGAAGGACGGTGCTCAAAAAAGTGGGTAAGACTTGTAGCTAACGAGTAACTCACCAAAACTTCTACTTATTGTCCATGTTCTCGCAATTTTTCCCCATCAACCATGGTTAACCAGTTTCTTGAGGCTCATCAAAAAATAATAGTGCCCGATGAATGATAGCAACTCAAACGCCATTCTAGGCTTTCGTGATTGAGAGATGCGTTGAAAACAATGGTGCTTATTTTGAGTAAAACGATTTTTGAAAAGTTATGACTTTTTGGACTCTTTCAGTAAATTACGCAATCAATTACAGTGATTGAGAGATAAGAGAAACATAACTGCAGTTCATTTGGAAAAAATAATTGAGAGATCAAAATTTGACAGGGCAGTCTTGTAACTGCGCTATTTTCTGAATCAATACGAATCTGTCGACCTTGAGTGTCGCATTTAATCCTCTAACTGCAACAGCATCCTAAGTCAGTACACCTTGAGGCAGCATCCACCCAAATCTTCGTATTCATATTTTTGTCATTGCGGCCTCTACATGTCCCTGATTGCAGATATGAAGCGCAAACTGTGCAGAACCCCCAATAAACCCTACTTCTGGTAGCCCTATTCTGAAGGCACAGACGACTTTGGGTACCTGGGTGGGTGGACACCTTGATAAATGAGCGTGGCTCGATAGACTTTCCCAGGTCTCAGGTCCATTTTTTATTGAGGCCACAGTTGAGGACCCGACCAATGCAGATCCTACTTTTGAGCCCTTCTTGTAGACCAAGTTTTGAGCGGGAAGTATAGATTTTGCCTGGATGCTGCCTTTGAAGCAAGCTCCGTCTTTACAAAACTTTCGAAAGCAATTACACCAGAGGCCTTCCCGAATGAGGACGTCGTAAATTACAACATCCCAATCCAAAGCAACACAGTCACATGCAATTACTACTTTGATTGTATATATCGGTGCTCATGTGTCAGCTACTGCAACAGATCGGGGAGAACACGAAAAGCATTTGTACGCCAAACTCGCCCGTGGCTACAATACTCTTGCGCGACCGGTTCGCAATGCAAGCGAACCGGTGCTTGTGGTCCTTGGTCTTGATTTCCAGCAGATACTTACTTTGGTAAGTCAATGTGGTTGCTCATACTGTCACAACTTTCTGTTTCCTCTTTAGGACGAAAAGCATCAAGTTCTGCACTCCAATGTTTGGTTACGCATGGTAAGTGCTTAACGCAAATACGGGTACTGAGACAATTATGGCGAGCACCCGTAGGCCACCCACGAGCGACTCCGCGCCTATCCCGAGGACGCGCGGATAAGTGCTCGGTAAGCGCCCGCCAATACCCGCGGATGACCCGATAAGCTCCAGAACAACGGCAGAGAGTGGCCCGGCGAGCGCCCGATAAGTGCATCCGAGGGTGCCCCAATACACCTCCTTAAGGCAATAAAGTCCATAAACGTTATTTCCAAACTTTAAGAACTTTTTGGACACCTGTTCATATTCTTTGGTCTTGCATGAAAAACCACGATCACTATAGCGAAGTTTCCGACGATCCACCAAGTCCCAAAGACCACATAGTTCAGAGCTTATCCGAGACACCACTGATGACCAGGAACTCGACGCTAGTTTATTTTAGCCAAACGACGCAAACGTCGGGGGTAGCTCTATCACCGCGGCGTATCTCACGCAAATAGCGTTCTCTGCTACAGCATTGATTGTGGCGTCCAGCAAGACTCGGGGCTCGACAAAGTGATGTTGTTGGGCCGTCGCTCAAAGGGCCGCGGCTGAAAACTAAATATGCAGTGCGCCCAATAAGGCCTGGGGATCGCCCGAGTGTTTTTCTTGGGCCGCGACTGTTCTAAACCTTTGGAGGCCCGCGGCTTTTCTCCAGCGATAAAATTGAGCCGCGGCTGGTCAATAAAATAAATCTAGGGCCGCGGATGGCCAGTCCAAGAATTTACCGCCCGCGCACCGCCGAAAGGTACCGTTAGGGGCCACGGGTGCTCGCAATAATTGCCTGAGTAAGTGATTGGCTCTATAAGTATTGCTATTTTTGTCGAAAGAAACATAGGAGCGTACTACATCTTGAATGGAAATAGATAAAGAGCTCAACCTGAGTTTCGGCACTACTTTACTTAAGGAGCATAAAGCACATAGGTTCTAACTAGACTTGGTTGTGTTAGTTGGCGTAATTATCAAATCTGGCCGCTTCAAAATTTGAGCTGTCAATTGGTGGAATGCATTGGCTTCCTTTTTCTGGAACCCTTTGTTCATAAAAGCATAGCTTCTCTTGGTAGTTATCAGATTTGAAGATTTAAACTTTTCAACTGAACTTACACTAAAGTCTTCAAAATGCATATACGTAGTGCAAAGTATTAGGTTGGAAACTAAGTTTTGCAACTGGTCTCGTAACTTCCTTCTCACTCAACATGGCGCACTCAAATTTTGCCGCTGCATTGGTTATTACGTAATCTACAAGTGCAGCTGCTGTCCTACCAAATTCTGACGTCGCAGTGAGGGTTACGGTAGGTGCATGGTATGAAGGGGAAAAATTCAAAGTTTGACGGATTTGGCTGAAACTTGGCATAGGGGTGTTATCCGACATGCTGATCGCGAAAACGATGGTGAAATTGCGTGGTAAGGGCTTTTTTGTAGGATTACTGTGGGTGTACGATATGGGGTCTTACCCTAAACAAGGAAAAAGGCATTGATTCAACAAATGAATGTGATATTCGCGTTTGGCAGGTTAAATAACCTTACTATGTAAAGTCTCGGCGGAGTTTGAGCTTCGGACTCTTTAGTCATTGACGGTCGTCCCCAGCAGCTCTTGCGTACATCGACTCGTTCGACTTTATGAGGACGTCAAATCTCGACATGCCCCTAAATTTTGTTTCTTTCTTAATAGGCCAGAGAAGTCAACCTCCAGCAATATATAGACAAATTCGGATTACTGCGCATGGTCTAGGCTGCCAAAAGCTTCATTTTATTAGGTTGGTAAGAAAATTCTCGGACATTTTCAGAAAAGATCTGTTATTTCTCGAAACATAACGCATATACATCAGATAGAGGAACCATTCGATAGAGCAAAGCAAGCTCTACAAGATGGCATGCAAAAGTTCGCACCAGCTTCGATCCACCGTAAGTTTGCACCCAAAATCTGAGTCGCACCGAATTTCAACAAAACCCGAAAAATTCCTATCTGTGTTTAAACAAACCCGGATCTCCAACTTGCTCACAAAAATTGCGGACCACATCAGACACTCATATGCACCGTTCCTGTAATTTTTCCTCATCTGGAAATCGAGAAAACGAAAATTTTCATGCTTGTATAAAAACAGAGCTGTGCTGTTTCCACCGACGTGATTGAATAGTACAAGCCCTTAAAAGTATAACCGTAAATTTTCAGCTTTCCGTAAGCCCTAGTTGTCGAAAAATATTGATTTTAGCATGGGACACCCGAGTGAGGAGCGCTCAACTCGGTAATTTTCGGGAACTAGGGCCTGTAGAAAGCTGAAAACTTAAGGTTATACTTTTAAGGGCTTGTACTATTCAATTACGTCGGTAGAAACAGCACAGCTTCGTTTTTATACAAGCATGAAAATTTTCGTTTTCTCTATTTCCAGATAAGGAAAAAATTACAGGAACGGTGCATATGAGAGTCTGATGTGGTGTGCAATTTTTGTAAGCAAGTTGGAGATCAGTAGGATTTGTTTGAACAAAGATATGAATTTTTCGCGGTTTTTTTGAATTTCGGTACGACTCAGATTTTGGGTGTAAACTTACGGCGGGTCAAAGCTGGTGCGAACTTTTGCATACCATCTTGTAGAGCTTGCTTTGCTCTATCGAAAGGTACCTCTACCTGATGTATATGCATTATGTTTCGAGAAATAGCAGATCTTTTCTGAAAATGTCCGAGAACTTTCTTACCGACCTAATAGCTTGAAAGCCCAAAAATTCTCAAATTTCATTAGCTTTCGAAAAACGCCTGAAACTTTTCTATTTCGTGTTCAAAATTTAGACAATTTGTGCTCACTTGTAGCTCACATCGCCTTCTACATAATGCCAAAGTTTGAGTGCACCATATCCAAAGAGAGTGAAGTTATGAAACCAGTTGCAAAACTTGGTTTCCAGGCTAATATTTGTGGAAAAAATATGTGAATAAAGATTAGGAGCACTTCTTTTCTCTTTTCTGAAAATTTCTCACGACCAAAACATGGAAAGGGCTCCTCCAACGCACAGATGACGATATGGCTCGTAATTTGATGTGTATACGCGCAGTGAAACCAAGGAACAAAGGTTTTATGAATCTATGTGGATAAAGGGCGTGCTTAATTTTTTCCATTTAGGTGGCCGTTTGCCCACCTGCGGTAGGCAAAACCTTCTCACATAAGTGTTTCAAAATTCCTTCATAAATCTGTTCTACACCTAAAGATTACTACATAATAACGTTTTGGTTTCAAGACTCTCCCTCTCCTCCTTGTTAGGACCCAAGATAGCAACAACGCCGGTCCTCTTAAGGAAGAAAGCGCGCTCCAGTTGCACAATCCATACATCGTGAAAATGGCAAGTGGCAAGGCAACGAGGCGAATTCGTTTTACAGGTGTCCATTTGCCACCCTCGTGACGGGGCCCTATACTAATGAAAACCTTTAGAAAATTGGAGATATCCACTTGAAATGCGGTTACTGTATTAAATTCAATTCATTCTTTTTTTCATTGGTTTGATAAACCCTTCAAAAAGTAAATGAGACATTGCTGAAGACTTTTAATGGTGAAAAAGAGGGCGGGAGGGAGTAAGCATCCTGCTCTCATCAAAAGAAGAGAATTCAGAGCTGGCGCGATCAGTACTTGACTTGGGATCCAGCAAAATATGCAAACATTCGCGAAGTACGTCTACCGATAACAAATATCTGGAAGCCCGATGTGCTACTGTACAACAGCGTTGATGAACATTTTGACAGCACATGGCCGATCAACGCAGTCGTTACATAGTACGTCCTATCTATTGTTCTATCTATCTTATTGTTAGCCCCTTATTTGCATGAGAATTTTTTTTTCGCACTGGAAATGTCTCATGGATTCCTCCAGCAGTAATCAAGTCAAGTTGCCGAATTGACATCGCTTATTTTCCTTTCGATTTCCAGGTTAGTCGTGGCGCTCAAGGAATCATAGGGTGAACATTTCTTTCAGCAATGTTCTATGAAATTTACATCATGGACATACTCAGGTCTATTCATTGACCTACGCAATGATTCCGTTATTGTGGGCACGTATAAGCCCAACGGAGAATGGGAGATTTTAGGTACTTTTTGCGGTTATGTGAAAAAAAAAGTAAAAAGAGAAATTTCTCGCAGGTTCTTTTTTGGCAACTCATGTGAGTAAGAAAAAGTCACTTGACACTGTGTAAAAATTTAAATCAGAGCAGTGTTAGCTTCTCCAACGCATTTTGCCTTTTTGAAAGCACAATGTGGTGTGAGTTTGAAACTACAACTCTATCCGAGAGAAGTATCTGACTCAAAGGAATGATCCTCCCAGAAAAAGTACTTTCTAGTTCAGAGTAAATCGGACAAAAGTAAACCAAATCACTTGCTCACGCCACTTCCAGATTTTACTTCAAAACGCTCTATCTTCTACTACGACTGTTGTCCGGAGCCATACTACGATATAACGTTCACCATAACCTTGAAAAGACAAACACTTTATTATGGGTAACTTGAGCATGATTTCTGTACTACTTAGCTATCGATTACGAAGGTAATAAGTTTATAATTCAAAATAAAACTCTTCAGAATTAACCTTGTCGTACCGAGTATGCTGATATCTGCTCTCGCTCTATTCGGTTTTACGCTGCCACCAGATTCGGGCGAAAAACTCAATTTATGTAAGCTTTGTCCATTTCGTAAGCATGCTTTTGCTTCAATATATTTTCGCGATTTTTTACTTCATTACAGTATTTGTGTGAATATTTGCTGCGCTTTAACGCGATTTTGCAGGTGTCACCATATTCATGTCTCTATGCGTATTTATGCTAATGGTTGCAGAAGCGATACCGCAAACCAGCGACGATTTACCGTTGATAGGTTTAGTCACGCATTAATATCAATTTTGAACTTCCAATTCAAGTAACCAAATGAGATATTCTCAAAGATAAAACGTTTTAGATGTTTTAGTAGAAACAAAATTCAATAAATCAAATTTTTTGTTTCTCGTCAGATGCTGAACAGGGCATTATATCCTTTACTCTATCAGACCATGCAAGTAGATTACTGACAAAGCGTTCATTTAAAACGAAAAATCTTTCGCGAAGATATGAGATTATTTTTAAAATAACATAAGTCAAAAACATAAAATTTCTAAGAGCTACTGAAGAGCTAGGTGAAGTACGATCTCATCATGTTGCACGGACTACATTCTGATTTTTCAGAGGCCTACTTCTGTTGCATTATGTTCGAAGTCGGAGCATCCGTTGTGTGCACAGTTTTCGCACTGAACTTTCACCATAGGACACCTGAAAGCCACCGAAGAATGGCACCACTAGTCTGTGTACACCATGTCGCTACATCGCTCTTAGCCGACATTTTGCAGACAAGGAAAATTCTTTTGGAATGGCTACCACTGCTGGTGTTCATGAAACGCCCCGCACCTTTTGATGCAGATCAGCTAGATGGAGATTTCGTACCCGAGCACTGCAAAGCCAAAAGGTCTTTAGCGTCAGAACATTTCAGTCTGACAAGGGATGAATGCTTGGTCGAAGTAGCTTTCCTAAACAAAATGTATATATTCTTATAAATTATAAGAATACATACATTATGTATCTATCAGTGGCGTACCCAGGATTTCGGCTCGGGGGGGGGGCCGGCAAAAAATTTTTTCAAATGAAGGTGCGTGCAGGTCTGAAAAAAGGTCTGAAAGAAATTTTAGGGAGCTTCCCAAAATTTTTGCGGGCCCCCCAACCCCCTAAAATGTGGAAAGAAGGGCGTGACGTCAGCCACGCTCCCGAAAAAATTTTTATAAGGCTAATTTGAATTTTTAAAAAGTTTAAAAAAAAAATTAATTGCTTAAAAAAGTAAACAAGTCACTTGCACATTTTTATAACCCATGTAAGTAACTTTCAAAAATTTCGCGACCCGTTCTCGGGGAGGGGGGAGAGCGCCCCCCCCCCTCGGTATGCCACTGGTATCTATATATTCATCATTTCTTGCTTCTGTTGTGGTCCTGAGCCTTTGCTTCAATAGCTCGCTCTCATTTACAACGTCATTCCATCCAACGTGTTCTACGTCATCCAGCTAAGCGTGCTTGTTTACACTTGTTTTTCTGCTGACATCTTTTGGATCAATTTTAACTTCCATTACATCATCTAAAATGCCTGCCCGTTCCCATCTTGACTCATCTTTCCAAAAGTCGCCACATCGGCACTCAAGAAATTGAAGGTAACAGGATTTGCTTATGATAATCTTTTTGTCAGTACACCTGATGTTGAGACACTAGATTTTGAAAACCTCTTTGTGGGTGAGATCATTAAGTCCCTTGACAGGAACACTGATCCACTTATAGAGAAGTTGGTTATAGCTTTGAGAAATAAGATGCCAAAAGATGCAGAAACTGAAAAAAGAGAACGAAGCATTGTACTAGCCCTAATTCCTGAGACGCGAACGGACCGAACATTGCGTGAAAGGAAAAAACAGTCGGAGGAACGTTGCACATGTGCTAGAACAGATAAATGTGGATTGTTCGCCATACGAAATCTTTCGTATGGGTAAGTTTGCTGAAGGTAAAACGAGGCTACCACTGCTGGTGTTCATGGAACGCCCCGCTGTGGCGGCCACAGCTTTTTAGGGGTCCTGCCACACCCCATTAACTATACCAAAAACATTTTTAGCAAACAGTATTTATATGAGTCGATAGCGTAGGTCTCGTAGATTTCATAGAAGTGATTTGGGCCTGATTCGTCTTCTTAGCTCTGAGTAATATTTGGTGAAAGCACAACCATCAGAACCGAAAAATGGGAAAAATGAGATTTTGGTTGGCTTCTGATTCTGCAGTTTGGAGGTCTTTCGAAGCGGAATTTCTGAGGTGAACAAGCAAGGAGTAGTGCTTTGTCTTGGGTGCAAGAACGGGTAGCTAGTTCATCTTTGAAACAAAGTTAGCAGTGGCTCGGCAAATCTCAACCTAGTCAAATTTGCGCTTACCTGGGGGTTTTTCAATACGCTGATCCCGAAAATCCACTTTTGAAAGCTTGAAAACGGCAAAAATGAGCGTTTTTTAATGCCCTTCCCTCTGATATTGGACGAGTGGAGCAAGGCCGATGACGCTAAATCGCGGCAGGACCCAATGGTTATAGCGTCGCGGCGGGCAGCCTCCAATAGTGAGAAGGAAATCGCCAACCCGTCTAGATGCGTGTAAGATTGGCCTGCGCGTGTAAGTTCGAGAGCAATTTTCTGATTGCCCTGTTTTCATAATTGGGTGATAAGGAACCCACCGCGTTAAAATCCCGAGTTGTTGGATTTTGCCGATCCACTGCCTTTACTTGTTGAAAAATGAGCATCTCACTTAGGTGGCCTATTATCTTGAGTCCTCAGAATTCGCTCAAACATTGTCTACAGGGGTTAATTGACATGCTAAATATGGATTTGATACTGTTTAAGCTTCGTAGCACCTCTTCATTATGCTGAGGTAGTCAATCTCTCACGTGCTTGTATTAGTCATTCCGAAAGTAATGTCTTTCTTCAATTGAACGCTACATTTCGTGGAAGGAAGGCTTCCAGGAGATCTTGGTGGCAACATTTCATTCTTTTTCCTATGGTTATATGAGCATTGCACAATATTCGATATGCTCCAAAAAATTATCAAAATCTGCGACCCACGCTTCTCGAGAAGGTCAAGTTTCACAATTTTTCTACATTTCTACAACAATCCTCTGAAGGAGTCCAAGTAACAGGAGGATTGGGCAAACCCTATAGGAAACAGCATAATTTTTTCTACTTCCCATAGCTCGTCATAATTTTTGTACAGATTTTTCACTGAAGTTACCGAATATTAGCAGGCTAGTCTCAGACACAAATGTATCAAACAGCAATAAATTTTCGGATTTTGAAACTTACAAAGGTGGATTATGGTTTGGCATTGATTTTCCAAAACAAATGAACACTTTCGGAAATTTCGGATACAACCTGGGGCGCCCTGGAAAACCTGAATTATGATGATTTTATCCCGGAGAACTTTATGAATCGCAAACCCAAAACGAATTTTAAAAAGAGGAGAAAAAGCTGCGTCGAATGACACCGAACTGCTTGCCGGTTATTGTTTTGCGAGGTTTGAGTTGACCAAGTATGGAAGTTGATAGCACTGAAAAAGAAAAATTGATTTTACAAAATCTAAGAAGCAAACTAAGAAAAGAAAAAAATTGTTTTGTCTCCTATAAGGTTTGCTCTATTTATCTTTTACTTGTACGTCTTCGGGGAACCAGTACAAAAATATAGAAAAATAGCCGGTCTTGACCATGGGAAAAAGCATGAGTCGAAGGTTTTGGTAATTTTTGAGAGCTCATTAGATATTATGCAATGAGATTACAACCATTAGAGAGAGGACGAAGTGCTGCATCGACTGAACCCCAAGAGCTCTTGAATCTTGTTTCCACGAAATGTGGCGTTCATTTGAAGAAAGCGACATTACTTTCGGAACGACCTAATATTTCGCATAATGAAGTTACCTGAGAAATTGCTTACAATCGTGTTATCACTATTATTAAGTTACCCAACTACGACCCCTCTCCCTCCCTGTCGACCCCTCAATACGACCCCCAGGTGTGGCGTGCCACACCCCACGCTTGACCCTGCTCATAATCTTTGAGGTCTAGGTTCGAATCTTTCTCTCGGCGTTATTTTTGCATTTGTCTCCTTTTGTTTTTAGTGATAAGCCCATCGTCCTAGCATCATCAGAAACAATATTTATTGCAAAAATGCGGCTACTAGAGATTTCAAAAATGAGCCAGTCGTATGTTCAAAGAAAAAATTGCGCTGATCTGAAAAAGAACATTATCACCAGTAAAAGACATTATTACAAATTAGGACAACGCAGGGCTTCATCCTTGATAAGAAGAACAGACTTCCAAATGTCTGACAATCGGAGCCCTTCTGGAGCTTTCCTTACTTCCATGCAATACTGCTTCCCATCTGACCTCGTAGGGACTTGTCAAATAAATAACTGTGAGGAAGAGCACTTTATTCGCTGCGCCTATCGTGAAAACCTCATTTGTTTTCAACATTTCATTGTAAGTTATCATACATGTACATTACCACCTTTAGTTGTATTTTTGCAATAAATATTGTTTCGATGATGCTAGGACGATCACCTTATCACTGAAAACAAAAGGAGACAAATGCAAAAATGTTGCCGAGAAAAAGCTTCGAACCTAGACCTCAAAGATTATGAGGTCCAACCACCTGCCATTGCGCCATGCCGACACTGCGTGATAGGCACGGCCGCGCATACTTGTCTTGAACGCGCGATCTCACGGAATTCAAACGCTCATATCTTGTCACACAGGACCGCGTGACAGATACGGATCGCTGTTTTATAAATTGCGTGCCAGGACCTGCAAACGTAAATGCGTTTCGTTGGAAAAGGCCACTTCGAGTTTGCATGGTTCCCTTGTTAGTTCTTTGTTCTACTCAAGTTCCTTCTCCTCTGAGAATCGTAACGGCCTATTGTCCACCAACATCTAAACTATGATGATGATTTGACAAATATTCTTACCGATCTCTGCTCTCTACCTTTTAAAACAATCATCCTGGGCGAGTTCAACATCGATTTCATCTCCCCTTGTAGACCCCCACAACATGAGCGCATCCTCTCTCTTTCAAGACTGCAATATGTTTCAGAATGTCACACTTCATTCCAGAGGGAAGCAGTTATTGATCTGGTTTTTTCACCCAGTAATGTTGTCGAAAGTCTACGCATATTGTCCCCTTTCGGTTCATCTAATCATAATGTTATAACTTTTTATGCTAATTTCTCCTACTCCGAAAGTATCTTCTTACCTTTTCCTGATTTTCAAAAGCTGATTTTCGCGAAATTAATGATATTCTTTCACATATCGACTGGCTAGACGTTTTTGATAGCTGGACATCCATCAATGACCCCTGCTACCGATTTTGCCTTGAACTATATAACATTCTTGCGAAACATATACCTTTTTTCCGTTTTCGAAAAGCTCCACTCCATAAATATCCACAGCACATTACAAATCTGATGGAGCAAAAATCATGTCTTTTTTCTCTGTATTTGATCTATCAATAATTCCCCTATATAAAAAAGTATGCCTTGATTCAAACCGCCATCTCAAAAAGTTCTTGTCTAATCACGAACGTTGTCTTGCCAAACGTAATGGCAAGAAGTTATTATCTTACTTCAAATACAAAGCTGAAGGAATAACATGGTTGAAACACTTTTAGGCCCGCATGCACATATCCCCGCGGGGAGGGGAAGGGATCTAGCAGCGGAAGCGTCATATCTCGCTAGTCTATATACCTTTCTTCTTCTTTCTCTGTCTTACTTTTAAGGCTCTCATACAATGATACTTGCGCCTAATGGATGCCAGGTTACTGCCATGCAAGATTAGATATTCATTATTTCGTCTGATCCCCTGGGAATCCCCAAGGGATCACCTCACTTTTTCAAAGTCATTTATCTTCCTGAAAACTCAATGAAAATGCTCTAAAATTGTAGTAAAACTCAAGATATCAAAAACTTCGATGAACCGCTGCTCGCGAGCCAGGGATCGAAAAAATCAAAATCTTCAGATTCCATTTCTTCTGTCGAAAACATGCTCAGCAATATCGTAGTATATCTTCAGTACAATTTTGAAGCGTTTTCATTTATTTTTCACGAAGATAAATGACTTTGAAATTGTGAGGTGATCCCTTGGGAATCCCCAGAGGATCAGAAGAAATAGTGAATATCTAATCTTGTATGGCAAACCTAGTATCCGTCATGCGCAGGTATCAGTGTATAAGAAACTTCATAAGCAAGATAGAGAAAGAAGGAGAAAGATATGTAGACTAGCGAGATATGACGCTTCCCCTCTCAGATCCCCTCCCCTCCCCGCGGGGATGAACGTGCATACGGGCCTTAGAGATGATCTGGATAAAGGAAGTGCTTTAGAAAGCTTTTTTGCTAGAGTATTCAAGAATGGTGTTTCTGAAGCTTCTCATCCTTCTTATGTAGAAATTGAAAGTATCACTGAATCTTGTGGTGATGTTCAAGTAACCACAGATCTTGTCTCTGAGACCCTGAAAAAACTCAAATCATGCATTAAAATTACTTATGACGGTGTTCCGCAGATCGTTCTCAAAAACTGTGCAAAGTCTCTTAGTTTTCTTAACATAAATTTTCAATGCATTTCTCTCTACTGCTGATGTCCCTGTTTGGAAAGAAGCATTGATTACCGCTATATCCAAGAAAGCTTTTGGAGACACCATTTCGAATTACCGTCCTATTAGCATTTTGCCTTCTATATGGTATCTCTTGAAGATTATCTGTAAGAGACTATCCACTTGGCTGCAAGCCGTCACATTATTCTTCCTGAACAACATGGCTTTATGCCAGGTCGCTCTACTACTACATTACTTTCTGACTGTGTTTTTTACTGGCTTAACGCTTTTAAATGATCGATCGGTTGACATTATATACTTCAATCTTTCTAAAGCGTTCGATAAAGTTAATCATCAAAAACTTCTTTCTAAGCTGTATAACTACGGAGTAAGAGGTCCTTTGATTTCGTGGTTAACATCCTATCTTATATATAAAGTTGAATGTCTGTATGTCTGTCTGTATGTCTGTCTGTCTGTACGTATGTGCGGAATAGAAATTTTTATTTCTGAACCGATTTGGACCAAACTTGGCACACATATACTTCGGGGCAGGGAGCGTGTCATAGGCTACTTTTCATTATCGATCGATATCGATTTTATCGATTTTTTGCAAAATTTGAGCTACGGGGCTGGGAGTTGGCGCAGGGGGGGTAATCGAGCATGCTGATTACGAATATAATAATGACAGGGCCGGGCGGAGCCGGGTTTACCAGCTAGTTTTCAATATAGAGGCATGGCAGTTAGAGTAGGTTGTCAATACTCAGATCGCTATCATTGCAGTAGTGGAGTATCGCAAGGTGGTATTTTTTTATTCCTTCTTTTCATATGTAGCTGAACTACCTGCATATCTTAAGACTCATCCTAACATAATGGTTCAAATGTTTGTGGGTAACATCAAGATGTACTATTGCTACGATCTGTGCCAACAACATACGGCTTTTGATGCATTTTCTTTATCAATTGGGAAAATGTTATTATGTTCCAACGAATGGAATATACCAGTCAATGCTTCTAACAATAAGACCACTGTAATGCACCTCCTTGGTGATACACCTTGTTGTACTTACTTCTGCAATGGTATCGCTTTTGAGTTTTCCACTGTCGTACGCGATCTTGGTGTGATGATAAACAACTCCCTCACATTCTCTTCCCACCTCAATCATATAATCAAGAAATCATCAACATCGCTTTTTACAATTTTTAGAAACATACATAGCAACGATTTTGATGTTTTCTTGAAATTGTACAAGACGTTTTACCACATCTTGAATATGCTCGCCTGTCTGGAGTCCATTTTTGAAACGACACATCAATAGAGTTGAAAACATCCAAAAAACTTTTCACGAGGTTACTATTCTATAGATGCTTTCCTAACCCTGGATATCCTCAAGCCTTACCATCTTACCGTTTCCATCTCAATATGCTCAAGCTTCAGAGTTTGAAGTACAGGCGTAAATTTAACGGTCTTACTCTCTGCTTTCGAATCTTGCGCCTTGAAACTGAACTCAAAGCGAGTAAATATTGGATCTTTAGACCTTGTGGTGAACGATCAGGTAGTTGGCTTGCATCGTAAATCAGGAAAAAAAGCGACCTTTTATGACTCTCAGTTCTTTTGCTTATCGAACTTGTAGAAGGTTTTCCTCACTTCCAAATCGTATCATAGCTAGTGAAAATTCCAAAATTTTCCTTACGAGGAAATGGTCAGAAGTCGAAGTGGCCAATCCATCCAAGCTGCATACCATTAGATGCAGCATAAAACGCTGACTCTAAATCTGTCTTCCTTATCTGCAGAGCGCTTTTGTGTACTAAATTATAAGCCGTTGAAAGCCATTATTTTGCTAAGGAATTTGTGCGTGTAAAAAGCACTTGGCTGTACAAAGCCATTTTCAGCTCAGTTTTGGACCAAAACATGCAACTAGGTCACTTCATATGGCCCATACCTAGACGTGAGCTGAAAGAGCAATAATGTGCCTAATTTCGCAATTTTTGTATGCGGTTTGTCCGCGATAAAGTTGCTCATAACTTCACACAAGGGCGCTCTGCAGATAAGGAAGACAGATTTGAAATCAGCATTCTATGCTGCATCGAATGGTATGCAGACTGTATGGATTGGCTACTTCGACTTCTGACCATTCCCTTGTCAGAAAATTACAAAGTGTAAATTTGTTCCAACTTCTTGACATCTGTGCTTTTTAGACGTATCCTGCACCTATCTACCACCCAATGTTGTTTCACACCAAGTCCAACTATCACTATCTGTCTCATATTTCATCAATTACTAACCATATCTATGAATTCAATGATAAACCAGCTCGTCTCATCTACTTGAACTCCATCATCTTCAACTTCATCGTAAAGCTCAAATAACAAAACAATTCTGGATGAATTATTATGATGTTTCAATTGCTCTAATGCATAATTTGCTCCCTTCCAAAATTGAACGTTATTGGAGCCAGTCAGCTAGCCTTTGCCCGCAGGCTCGCTGGCACTCTGAAAGGGACACTATGAGCTTTAGACAAACCAAGGTTTTGTTTATTCTGCAATTCCACATGACAGACTGATAACGGTTCTGGATTTAGCTACAGTGTTTCAGTTTGTGATTGTTTCTGCTTTTCCTTATTATATTCATCCTGAGTTTCGAAGACAGCTGGTACCTCATTAGTTTTAATTCTTTTTTTCTCGCTACACTTCAAGTGTAGTCGTAAATAAATAAGTAAAATAAAATAAAGCATGGGATGCTGACTTCAAACCTACTTTCTATATCTGCAAAGCGCTTTTGGGAGAAATTTTTCAGTGCAAGATTTTGAAAGCACAGCTACAATAAAATCACTCAGAACCTTAGTCCGTGAGCTCAAGTAGTGCCATGATTACCGCTATGGCGTTTTATGGAATAAAGACTTTCAATCTAATAAACTCATGTCGGTTATTTCTCCTTTCAAGCGCCTCAACACTTACTTTTATCTTAGCCAAATCATTGGATTTTTACCTTAAAAAATTCCTAGAACTCTTCTCCCAAAGTGCTTTGCAGGACCGATAGCAGATCTGGAATCAGCGTTCCTTGCTGTAGAAGATAGTATGCATTCCACATGGAAACGCCACTTCGACGACCAAGTATCTTTCCCTTGTGAGACTTTTTCATTTCTTCTGATACAAGGAAAAGATTCAGTGAGAGACTGACAAGTTCTATAGATATTCCTTGTAGGGCTGCAGTGAGCAAGTGTATTGTTTCATACAATGGCAAGAAAAACACAGTTGACGCGGACATTTGCCATGGTATGTTTTGATGGTCATTTAAGGTGGTCAAGCCGCGAAAAGCAAAGATTTCTTCTACCTCAAACTGCATTGAATCCCGCTCTTGTTTCGGCATTCTCGCGTCATCTGCAGTGTCTTGAATAAGATACCGCGGCTCGTAGCTTGGACACTCAACAGCGTTGAGTATCTATCGAGATACGTCATCGCCAATTTTCTGTGTGATTTTGGCAAGCGCAAATCATCAAAAAAGCAATCGTTCTTTTGTCAATTGAATGCGGGTGCATCCACATTCCATCTACAAGTATCTAAAATGGCAAGCATGATAAGTGGACAGTATAATCATTCCAGTTTACCTGAAATTTGTTTTAGTTGTGACAATTATTATTAAGCGGATGAAAGCCCAATTCTTCTTCTAAAACGTGTGGGACGGAATTCTTATCCAAACTCGACACCGTGTAGCATCGCAACGTCCCCAGATATCTTTGAGAATTACTCAGTTACCGAGGTAGGCTTAAGTATGTTGTAGTGGTACTTTGTCTCAACTGGGAAAATTCTTTCAGAAGTGGCGTCATACTATCGAACAAATGTCCCTTCAAAAGACTACCTTACGCAATGCGCTGGAAGAGCATCAGTTCAGGGGTATCATGAAGGAGTTACGCATCATTTCGTCGCAAGTCAAAAAAGAGGTTTGCTCCTAGGAGCTTATAGCTTGCTTCCCCCCCCCCCCCAGGTTCTTATTAATAGGCTTGTTTAACCACTAAATATCATTGCCTTACTCAACGCAACGAGAATGCGAATTAAGGAACTGATGCACGATCAACGAGCTGATTGGATGTATGCTGCAATGGTGATAGATCGTGTGTGCTTCGTCTCCTTCTCAGCCTTTCTCATACTGTGCACACTAGTGCTTGCCTTCAAAGCACAATCAACTTCTGTGAAACCCGTCTTCAATAGCAACTAAAACTTACCAAGACAATCTGTTTCGCGATCTCTTGTAGCTAACAAGGAGAGGATATTTAGTCGAAAGCACCAATCCAGATTAGACATATATCATCTTAAAGCGCTTGAAACGCTGATTCCAAATCTGTAGTTCTTAGCAGCGGAGCGATTTTGTAGAGGGAGTTATGAGGGCTGTTTTCTTTTGGGTTTGAGGCGCCCTCCAGATTTCCCCCTATCTATGAGCACTGTAGAGGATTATGAACTGGTGCAACTGGCTTTGTGGTAAGTGACTTGCTTTATAAGGAGAGTGTCAAGGTTTAGTCCCCTTCGCATGCAACTTAATCGCGATTTTTGCAGAGTTGAGCTTCTAGATGGCTTTAGAGCCCTAAAGCCTGAAATAGAAGTGTTAAAAAACCAAACTAATACGACTGTTATAATCCTTACGTAATCCTCATTCAAATTACTTACCACTAGACCAGTTGCCACCAGTTGGTACTCCTCTACGGTACTCATAGGTAAGGGGAGACCTGCTGGAGGGTGCCTCAGCCCCAAATGGAGATACCCCTCATAACTCCTTCTAAAAAACCGCTCCGCTGCTAAAAACTACAGATTTGGAATTAGCGTTTCAAGCGCTTTAAGATGATATATGTCTAATCTGGATTGGTGCTTTCGACTAAAAATCCTCTCCTTGTAAGAATCTTCATCATATCTCAAAATTTCTAACAGTTTTGTGCGAAAAATAATGAAATAAACATTTTATTTCAATCTTGCAATGGTACTTCTAGTTTTAAATTGAATTTGTGAATCCTCAATCAAGCAAGTTCACTATTAATTGTGTTGAAATCTTGCCATTGATGACAACTTATGCAAAGGCTTACAATAGTTAGGTTGCAGTAGCGTACCCAGGAATCCGTGGGGCCAATAAAAAATTCTCCAGTGAATGTGTTATGACACAACTGGATTAAAGTCACTGCTTTGACTTTCGACTATGTATATGCGCAAAAGACTTTGTAAGCTAGAATTACTTTAGCGGACAGAAATTTTAGGTGGATCTATAGTTTTGCCAACCTTAAAGTCTGCTTTTTTCGAAATCTTTTCCTGAATAATCAAACGAAAACGGACTCCCCCCTCACTGACGGAAGCCTGTTGAACACACAACTGTACCAAATTTCAGATCAATTCGTTGAGAAGCAGGTGAACTAGGGCAGTTTTTATAGTGGATCTATAATTTTGGCCAGCACTCTATAAGAAAGTCAAGTAGGGTTTTGTTTAGGAATAAACATCTGACCAATAAAGGGAAAAATTTGACTTGCAAGGGAAGGATACTTACTTAAATTCGCCTTTTGAGATAAGACACATATATTTGGAATCAGGTTTGAACGCTGATCCCAAATATGCTGTTCCTAGCTGCTCAGCGTTATTCTTGAGCGGGTTATGATCTTTTTTCTATGCAAAGTTTGCATGCTTCCCGACCTACTCATGCTACAGTGTTGACGTCCAGGTGGTTTTGCAACTGTATAATGCTCCCTTTCATGGTCGAAAGAATCAGTCTGATGCTAGTTTAACATCCTAGCACATTTTCGAGCAGATTCTAATCACTTCGATTATGACATTCAGAAGCTTGTCAATTACTCACAAAAGCAAGCCAATAACTCGCTTCGGAATAACTCTAAGCAGCTAGGGACAGCATATTTGGAACCAGCGTTCAAAGCTGTTATCAAATATATGTGTCTTATCTCAAAAGGCAAATCTAAGTTAGTATTCTTCTCTTGTTAGACATTTAGCCATGAGGATGTTTAGAAAAGACTTTATTGTCAAGTGTAAAACTCCTCATACATGAAATAGAGATCTCGTTTGAGAAAAAACTGGAAGCGTTGTCATTACTATCAAGATTCTAAAGATGAACATTAAGAACGTTTACTAATAATTTTTGACCTCCTCCAGCTCGTAGCGTTGTGATCTATATTTCTGTCTTTGGTGCAGACTACTCGATAGCAGTAATCTTGCGCTCCGTCCTTTTACATGGTATTTTATTTGGTTGCGAGATTGTAGAAAGGCCGATAACTAGTGGAGGTGGAGAATACGTTTGGGTTTGGAATTGCGATGTCGTTTATTAGGTCGGCACAGAAGTTTTGCCACTTTGTCCATAATTTCTTTGTCTTTGAATAAGGCGCATTCAAATTCAGGCATTACGTAGACTCGGAAGGAGCTATAAAACTGCGCAAACCTTTTGATTTTTTTACGGCAAAGTGGAAAAAATCTACGCATTCTTCTAGAGACGGTGTACATCGCGGTTTTACGATTCTTAGCAAGAACGAAGAAGTACAGAGAAAGAATTGACCAAATTCAGCCGGCAATGTAGGCAAAATGTTCTCAGAGGTTAGTTACTGAGCCCAGTGGAAAAAAAGAAATGTCATATAAAGTCGAATCGAAATCTGGTGATCTCGAGAACTCTAACTAGCCAAATGCGTCAAAGTCGTTTTGGAATTTTATCAATGATAAAAAGTGGGAACCGTCGGATTTCATCGAAACTTTGCGCAGTGGGTTAACTTGACATGCTGAACAGGTTTATCATATTCAGTTGTTGTCAGGGGTAGAAATTAGTCCACTGATTTTCTTTAACATAACTTTTCCGTGGCAAAATAAGCCTCTCACGCAAACTGAATATCACCTTCGTAATCAGGATGTCGCATAACCCTCCTAACAGAAATGGAAGCGCCACTTTCAAAAAGACAAAACTTTTAAGAAAAAGTGTCTTATGTGCCAACCTAACTAAACCGCTCAGGCATTCTAAGAAGACGGAAAGCACCGAAACGTTAGGCCGGGATAGGAAAGAAATAAAAACCACTTTTCAAACCTGGCACAATGGAAACTTGAGCATTCCCCCATTTTGTAATGAGATGCATTTCATTTTACTGTTTTTCTTGTAAATGGATATTTGAGCAAGAATAAATTAAGCTGAACCACCAAATAGGTTGATTATTACGATTAAAATCAATTACCATTTGCTTCAGCAGATCTCACCGAACTATCTACCCTAATTTCACAAACAAATGACGCGCCTTTTTTATTTTTTCAAGCAAAAAACTCGGCCGCACCACTGTGCCCCTCAGTAAGATGGTTCTATCACACAATTATATTATGCAGAGAACAGCATGGTAGAAAGTTCTTTAGTGGCAAAGTTCTTCTTGATGCGTTCGAGCTGGTTGAGTTATAAAACAAATGGTCGCCTACTCGTGGAAATAGGGTAGTATAAATAGTGACCGCTATTTCACGTTTTCTATACAAATACACTGATCGTCCAGTTGTAGTATACAGCCTTCAAATAAGCTTTCACCTCCACTTCATTTCATACATAAAAGCAATAACTGAAAAAATGTGCAAGTGCATGCTGTGCTATAGATTTGATATTTCTAGCGTACCTAGCTTTTTGCAGATAGGGTGTAGTTCAACCTCCATTGTGACATTCTCTCTACAAACAGCGCTAGCTGTTTGCAAATAGTAGCATATTCACGACTTTGCCTTTTGTCTTCGCTTCTTATGTGTTTGCATGTACCTATTGAGAGAGTTTTCTTGAGCTCTTCTTTTCTACAAACGTCAATCTCAACGTTTGGCATCCGCTGCCGCCCACTAACAATATCAATTTAGGATAAATCACACTCTAATGTATGATCAGTTTTGCTCTTTGTTTTCAATGAAGTAACTTCCACTGACATTGCGCAACAGCAACTAATCGTTCTAGCGCTTTGTATTTTTCGCGCAACATCGTCTTTTGGGAGGTGGAGTGTACAGTAACTAAGTCAATCTACAATTTGTTTGCTTGTTCTGTAATATCTCGCATTTTTGTCATTTTTGAGAATGCGGCCAGCGTTTAGGTTATGTGCGATCGTTTGATTAGTGCCATCTGATTTCCTTCCCTTCAAAATGGTTGTTTGCAAAACTACCATCCTGACTGCGCTTGCTCACGAACTTGCGATACCTTGCACTAGCAGTACCATTTTCGCGACCAACATATTAACACGTTTCGGATCGGTGCCGCACATTGTCCATCACTGAGTTTGCAACTGTCTTCTGCGTCTTACAATCGATTCCCTTACGATATATCAGGTTGTCCCATAAGTCTTTTCATTTTTGAGTTCTCGCTGTGATAAGCCATACAGTTCTTATCCTAAATAGACGTCAGGTTATCATTTGATGGAGCAAAGCAAGCTTTATAAGATAGCTTTTTGCTTTTGCACCAGCTTCGATCCGCCTCAAGTTCAAAACCAAAATCTAAAAAGTCTCGGATGCCCAGAAAACGGATAATTTTGTATATCTTCGCTCAAAAAAATCCTACAGATTTCTCGCTTGCTCACGCTTATACACCCACATCAGAAACTCATATGTGCTATTGCTGTATTTTTTATTAGTAGATATCAAGAAAACGAGAATTTTTATGTTTTTGCCAGAGTGACGCTGTGCTGTTTTTACACTAGTAGTTGTATACTACAAAGCCTTAAGATTACAACCGTGAATTTTTAGCTCTTAATAAGCTCTAGTTCCCGAGAAATATCGAATTTAGCTTTTCCGACTCGGATTTTACACCCTAACTCAACATTCCTTGAAAACCAAAGCTTGTAGAAAGCTAAAAATTTTACGGTTGCACTTCCAAGGGCTTGTAGTACGACTATTAGTGTAAGAACAGCACAGCGTCACTTTGGTAGAAACATTTAATTTTTGGTAATTTTCGTTTTCTTGATTCCTAGCTAATAAAAAAAATACAGCAACAGCACACATGAATGTCTGATGTGAAGTGTATAAGCGCGAGCGAGTGAGAGATCTGTAAGATCTTTGAACGAAGATATACAAAATCCTCCGTTTTCTGGGCATCCGAAACTTCTTATTTTGGCTTTGTACTTGACATGGATCGAAGCTGATACAAAAGCATAAACGCCGTCTTATAGAGCTTTCTTGCTTATGGGACAACCTTATAAGAATGCCATCGTATAGGTGCAAGTCCACCGTCGAGCATTACCCTTCTGGCCACTAGCTTATTTTGTTCAAACCAATGAGTGACAAACAGTGAAAAATCGGTGCGGCGTTGCGAACCTCGCGGGCGACAAAACCTTCGCACGGTTCATTTTTGAGCTGTCAAAATCGCATTTTCAAGAAAACTCCGCTTGTTGCAAGGCAAAGGAAAATGCAAGAGCTGATTAGGAAAACAACCTTTTCTATTTTACAAAACCAAGTTTTGTTATGGTATGAATGTGATGTCAAAACGACAATCCAGCTATTTCAGCACGCTGTTCACGAATAAGATGTCAGTTTTGCAAAGTAACGCGATTTTTTGAGGTTACAGTGCGGTTTGAGTTACAGTTTGAGTACATCTGATCAAAATTTCGAATATGGTCAGAATTATAGTGCGTTAACCACTTGAGCCGCTTGAAAAGACTCTCAATCACATCTGAGATCATAACCGTGATAGGATGTTGAAGGATCCCTTACACGAAGTTTTGAGCAAATCCGAAATTTTTACCCACCTACTATGTACCCACTTTAACAGAACAGAAGGGGGTTTTGTGAGAGAAAGAGTGAGAAATGCGATTATTATGGCAAAAAATCCCCATGGATCAGGAAATCCACGACCGAAATCTAGGCATTTGAAGTAGCCAGATAGCTCTCCCGCTTTTATCACAAGATTCAGGACCATGACTTCAAAAGAAGAACAATGTGGACACATGAGAGAAGTGCGAAACACAACACTAGCTCGAGTTCCATGAATTCAGCTCGATACTACGCAACCAAATATCGACCCCCTATGTCTCTCGCTACATGGCGTAGCACGCCACTTTGCCGCGCGTAATCTCTCGGTCTGAGGCGTGTTAGACATGCCTCCACATAAGATACAAATACGGTATCTCATCTTGCACTTCTGCCTAAAATCAACTTTCCAAAATATATACTGCGAAATCATAAATGTAGATGCATGCTACTTACTTCGAATTTGTTGTATTGCATGCTCTCTTTTCATGGCTCGCTTATTGGATCTTGATTTGTAACGCAGACTTTTTATGACATGATTTTTCAGTGAGACATGTGGAAGTTTCTGACAGCTTTAATGCTTTCCAGGCATGCGATACTGGCCAAACAAGGTAACAGCTTAGGGTAAGGCTAGAGTGCGCGGCGTATGCAGCAAAGGTTTTACGTTTGAAACACGGGGCTTGCGGCCGCGTAATCTGGCCTAACCCTTAGATCATTAGGCACACTTAGATCATTTGTGATGGATAAACAACTACATAACAGACTATTCATACCAAACTCTCGTAAACGGAGTGTTCCATATTCTGTTTAATGACCTACATCACTTCAATCGATGAAAAAAACATGTCTTTCATTGTCGCCGTTAACACAACTTCCGGTTTCATTCCTTTCTTTCCATATAAGTTAGTCTATCAGATTATCCTATGCTTATCAAAAGTTTGAGAAGAAAAGGGAATAGAACATATGATTTTAGTCATAACAACAAGAGATAACAATTTGATCTTTACGCTCCTCCTTTAGAGCGAAGAATGACTTGTACTCAGATAATTACCGGGGGCAGGCAGCCCGCAAACTCGCGCTTTCCTGCAAGCGGTCAGGAAAATTTTTGAGCATAGCCAAACCTACAGCGAGAGGTACTTCCGTGTTCTGCTAGCGGGCAGCAATGCAAAATTTTCTGCAAGCGCTCGTCAAATAATCTCTTTCAGCGAGCGATGGTCAAATTTTCAGCAGGCTCTCGGACTCTTTTTACGCAGTTTCGGGTGTCCGAGCAGCAGGTAACACTCTACATAATAGAGGTGCCAGCGATGGTTTGACCCGAGTTAGGGGTACTTTCTCTAAGCGGAAGGTACCTACGGGCTGTGCGGTCCTTCACAAAGGACCGGAGTAATTTGCATACCCTCGCGGAAGGTCGGCGAGGATGCGGCCACTGCGCCGCATCCAATCTATGAAAAAGCCGCAATTGTTTTCCGAGCATTCTTAACATTTCGCCAATATTCTTCCAAATATCTGCAAGCGGATCGCAAAAAATCAGCGAACTATAGTTCCGGTGCCCGTCTGCCCATAAATCGCGTGGCTGCCCGCCCCGACGATTATCTGAGTAAGTGCGTAATATTTATATAACTTTCTTAGTTCTGTCTTGCGAAATTTGCAGGGTGGACAGAGCACGAAAGGCGTTTGTACAGTAAACTCGTCGATGGTTACAGCACCCTCGCTCGACCGGTGCTCAACGAGAGTGAGCCAGTAATAGTGCTTCTCGGTCTTGATTTTCAGCAAATTTTGTCTTTGGTAAGACTTTTGTAACCTCAAACTTTTACCAAGTTTTTGCTGTTTCAGGACGAAAAACATCAGGTTCTGCAATCTAATGTTTGGTTGAAGATGGTATGCTTTGCAATTTGCCAAAATATGAAAGACAAATCGTTGCGATATATGCAGAAAAAAACTTGTTTTCAAATGATCAAGAGGAAGTACTTGAAGTTTCGTCATGCTTAGGATAAAGGTTGCAACTGTGTTAATATGCCGAAACTAGCTCGATAGGTCATGGCAAATTCTGCAACAAAGTAATGACTTTTGCAAGAAGTTTAAGCGAAACAGTAAGAGCACATTCACAAGTGGGCTTTTAGATAGTCAATACGGAAAGTTTGTACATACAAGAAAGCTCTTTAGAGTGGCGACTTGGTTATGTACTCCAGCCAGGGCTCGGCATAAGTGGTCATAAGCAAGCTGGATTGTTTTGCGACAAAAAGCAAAGAGAACATCGTTTTTGTGGGTCCGAATTAGAGGCTTTTTGTAGACGTTCCGTTTTAGATCAGCTATTTTAGCGGATTCGGATATATCGAACAAGGATCAAAGAGGAAAATTCTGCGGAAGTCAGGGGGACAATTTTATGCATTTTTGGAGAGCCACCTTGTGCCGACAGATTCATTTTGATCATCTGCGTGACACTTTCTTGACACTTTCCATAAGGAGTCATGAGCGTTTCTTAGGGCAAAAATTTGGACGCATGGCCAAAAGAAAATGTTCGGAATGATTTTTTATCCGTTGAAATGGAGTGGTCCTCCTAATAACTACACATTTAAAGGTGCTGCCCACTTAATGAAGATGGTTGTTTATGCCGCATCTACCGGCATACATCACAGATTGAATGGCCACCCGATTAAATGATTTCTGATTAGTTTTTTTTGATTTCTGATTAGCAACATTCTCTTTATTCAGAGCTGGGTCGATCAATATTTGACTTGGGAGCCAGCCGAATATGGAAACATTCGAGAAGTGCGTTTTCCAATGTCGGATATCTGGAAGCCAGATGTATTGCTGTACAACAGTGTCGATGAACACTTTGACAACACTTGGCCAGTTAATGCAGTCATTACTTAGTGAGCATAATAAGGCTTGATATCGTATCTGAAACCAACAATATTTCGCACCGGAAATGTTACCTGGATGCCGCCAACAGTGATTAAATCGAGCTGCAAAATTAACTTTGCTAACTTTCCTTTCGATTCCCAGGTTCGTCTTCTGCTTGTATAGAAATCTTGCACAAAGTGAAGAAAATTTCAGCAATGCTCGTTGAAGTTTGGATCATGGACGTATTCAGGATTATATCTTGACTTGCGGAATGATTCCGTTATTTTAGGCACCTATAAGCCTAATGGAGAGTGGGAAATACTAGGTATTCACTTTTGTCTCATATATATCAAATATGCTGCCCTTACACGTGTAAGTAGTTGCATCACTTTTTCCGCAGTAAAACGAGCACTTTATACTTCCCCCCATCTTGGAAACTAGCCTTTGTGCTTTTTCCTCTTTCTCATTTCTGTGCATAAGGGGTTGATAATAATTTTCTTAGTGCATGAAGTCTGGGTAGGCATTATCAGCAAGCAAGAAATGTTTAGTTCATTTGAAAAAAATTTTTGGCTAAAATAATAAAGTCATTTGCAGGGTAGACAAATGAGAGCACAAAAATGAGATCAGTTTTTCACAAAATCGATTTGCTATTGGCTGTAGCAGTAAGCAGCCGGATTTACTCGGACTTGCTTCTGAAAAGGTCAAAAAATTGAAGTTTACCACTAGTCAATTCAATATAGTTCTTCACGGAATGGCGAATAATCTGAGCCACTCCGCAAGCTTTCATCTTTGGTGCAACTTGAAAGTTGTGACTCTGCTCAGGTCTGGTTTTGTTTGTTGGGCTGCATGATGCCAGAAATGCGAGCAAAGATGTATGCTTCTGCACTCTATAACATAATGTTGCTTTCTGTTTTTTTTTCCCAAAAAGGTGGCAAATCAGCAGTCGTTAATTAGCTACATGTTTCTTTGTAAGCGGGAAAAGTGACTAACCTACTTGCCTACATAGGGGTACAGTGAATGGACGCCTTTCGATGACTATCTGTAATAAAATTAAAAAAATTTTACGTTGCTTTCCTTTATTATCTGTCTTGATTGAGTCACGATCTTCGCGTGCAAACGACCGGGCTGAAACGACCTTGCCGATCTGCGTTTGTCTAAAGGTGCATACACCTAAAATCCCGTCTTCCATGTTTTAAATGTTACCGGGCCTTTCCATGGCGCTGAGTTCGGATATAAGTTTCAAATTACCAGAAAACTCCGAAATTGCCCTTTTTTGAAGCCCTATTTTGGCAGACGGTGACGAGTGCCCCTGCGCTAGTCACGTCGTATGCAACAGGGAACCTCGTCGTGTGCAAAAGTGCCACATAGCAAACTATGCGTCTCGACGTTGCTTGTCATGTCAGAAACGTCAAGGGGCAACTCATGGGTGGGTGGAGCGCAAAAAAGGTCCAGAGCGCAAAGAAGGATTAGGACCGTTATCTCTTTTTGTAGGGTAACATTAGGGAACCGGACCAACCCAGTTGGTCAACTTTTAGGGCCTGCTGCTAGGATAAGTAGCAATCTGAAATGAATGATTTTGGGCGGACGCTGCCTTTGAAGATGTTCTATAGAAGCTCTTCGTTGGCATGATTTTGGAAAAGTGCAAAAAAGAGAGATACACGTTTTTTTGTACATTGACAAGCTTCTGGTCGGAGCCGATTGTAGCTCAAGAAGTGATATAACAGAAGGTTTCTCATGCCTCAAGAGATGACTCCGAGATCATCAGAACTGTTTGTATTAGTGACGTGGACGATTACATGAATAAACACCATATTTTCCGCAGTCTACGTTTGAATGCCGCTATCGTTTAAAACAAGGTATACAGCGCTAAATCTGTTTCCAAGTGATTCCTTACACAAATTAACAATGTTTTATCATAAACTTTTCATTTTGAATAAAAAGAGGAGAAATCTCTTTCGTATCAGGTTGTCTCGAAAGTTCTGTCATTTCGAAAACCTGTATCTTTTTGCTATCCTGACGGATTGTTGATTTTATTATAAAAAGATCTTTTTATAAATGTTTCCGGTAAGCTTCTACTATACACACATTGCAGAGGAATGGTGGAAGAAGACCGTTTGGGTGTTGATCATTTTGCGTCAGGTCGCCAAACATCTAAACGAGAAGCAGAAAAGTTCCAAATTGTCAGCACATAAGTTTCATAAACTGCTCTTTGCAACTAAATACAGTTGTGCTGTTTGAGCGTTTCTGTGGAATTATAATTCGCAATTACAATAGAAAAATCCAAAATGGATTGATTTGTGACTTCTTTCGAAAATCGTAACTTTACCAAGAAATGTCCAAACAGCACAAATTTTTTTAGTTGCAAAGGGTAGGTCATACAACTATGCAGTGACAATGTCAAATTCTTCTGCAACGGTGCTCATTTTGGCGGCCTCATTTAAAAAGAACAAATCTGAATGTCTTTTTTTCATTATCTTTCTACAATCATGACTTATAATAACCGGCTAAGGGTGTTTACGTCTTTTTGTCTGTGTGTGTGTGTCTGTCCGTTACGAAATTCGTAGAGCGTGTTCCAGCCAACGTCCTGAGCCCAAATTCTGCACAGCGCACGCTACCAGCATGAAAGCTCGCTATACAAAAGCATGAGCGGATCCGTTGAGTGGATTCGTTGAAAATTGCACATCAAACGGATCCACCTGGCTTCTGTTCAGCAAATTTTGGTCCGTAGTATTACTTTTTGCAGAGATATGGATATGTTTGGCAAGTTAATGTGCAAGCCATGGACGTTAGTCTAAAAAAGTGATGGAAAGTCTACTACTTTACGAAAACAGCGCCAAAAAGCATTAACTGTGTAAACGGTCAATTTTTCAAGATTTCACCTGATTATATGAGAATATTTTTGCACAGAGATGTAGCCCACGATGTTTATTGTCCTTATGGCGACTACCAAGCCATAAAAATTCCAAAAAGCTATTCAAATTTGCATCTGTTCTTCTGAGAAAGATTTCACACACGCGAAAATACCGATCTTACACGAAAAACCTCTAGGAATGAGTAGTTGTTTACGAATCATTCGTAGTAGCCTACATAGTGTGGTGAGTTTCAACGTATTTATTACGCGAGAATAAGTAAGGCATAGATAAAGTAGGGCAGTGCGAGCCTCTGCGAAGCAGAGGTGACGCACTGGTGAGTATATAATACCACAAGGCATATTCAAAAAAAAAAGGTTTTTGTACTTCTAATCAAATTACAAGACGCTGATTCGTCACGATAGCAAAGAGTCACTAATTTTAAATGGAACAACAGAACTTTGGAAACTTTGGAACGACCTAACATTCATTTATTTAGACTTCACCTCAAAACGGTCTATATTTCATTACGAATGCTGCCCAGAACCGTATTACGATATAACTTTTACCATAACTATGAGGAGACAAACACTCTATTACGGGTACGCTCCTTCTTCTCACTTCAGCATCGAGAATCAAAGGCATAGTGTATGATCAAATTTCAGAATGAATCTTGTTCTACCGAGCATGTTAATTTCTGCTCTTGCACTTTTTGGTTTCGCATTACCGCCAGACTCCCGAGAAAGGCTCAGTCTAGGTGGGAAACTTATCTGATTGATGCAAAAGTAATGAGCGTTCTTCATACGAAGCCGCAATGAGAGTAACGGAAATGCATGAAGTATCATTAGATAGAGCAAAGCAGGCTTTACAAGGCAGCTCCCAGTCTGTCTTAAAACTGGTGATCTAACTTAAGTTCGAGAACAGAACAGGTACTTTTCTTTTACCGCACCCATTATTTTCAGAAAGTTCTCATCGAATACGTGCCCTAGTTTAGAAAATTTTATAAGTATAATGAGGACCGTCTGTCTTCGTGATTAGCATGTTTTGAACACAAGTTTGAAATATTATCCGCAAGGTACGAGAGCATTTGAGAGATAACAAAAGCTCTTCAGCTGTATTCTATAAGAGCAAAGCAGTTTAAAACGTTTGTTAGAGCGTCTTGATAGCTTTCAGCAAGTGTCCAATATCAAATTTCTCTTCAAACTATTTCCGCCATGCGAAATCAGCTAAAAAGAATTCGGATAGTAGCCTAGAATACCTAAATGCCAACAGCTTCGCGTGAGTTGCTGAAAATTCAGGGCATTTCTTTGTTCCGGGCAAATCAATAGTTATCAAAATAGATGATTTATTATAATTATTTTATTATCCATTTTACTGTTAGTTTGTTTGTTTGGTTTATTTTTGAAATTTTTGACTCGAAAGTGGGGTCACTGTCAACGGGAAAGCGGATTGCTTTCACCTTGATAGATGTGCGACACACAACACGTTGGTAGGGCGACACAAAACTCCAGTTTAAACATGTTGAACATGTAGCTAACATCTTAATTGTTCTCACACGTGGCAGTGATTGACGAGGGCTCGAACGCGTTGGTCTGGAGCATTTCTGAATACGAATTTTCGAAGTCAGTATCAGTGTCAATATAATAATGTCTATGTTCCACGTTCTTCAAACCTTGGCATTGTTGTAACTTTTCAATTTTCTTATGTCATACAAGGTTTGTTTTAGCAGCTTTATACAGTCGGCCTTACGTTTCAACGGGTTCGTCGTCCTCAGAGGCCTGGAAAATTCAAAGCATAATCTGCAATACCATGCCACCAAGTGTTCCATCAAAATCTTGCTAGTTTTGGCGTCGTCCAAGTGTAGTCCACGAAAATGGCGACACGGAGATGGACCCAAACCTACGCTTGCACCACCGCTATATGTGATTTCCGCCGAAAGTGACTGACGTGGCAGACGACTGAGCCACACAGTAGAGTGCATGGTACAGTTTATCTACACTTTACAGCTTGCATAAGGATACGAAGGGTAGTCTGCTATCGACAGACACTCATTCTTATTGTTCATTTCTGGATCTCTGGCAGAGATGCAGAAGCCCTCGAGCGCCTTTTTTTAGCGGAGATCTCTTTCTCGCAAGTCAAGATAGTACATTTGATTTCAAAATCGTTTCCGTCATGAACTTAGTTTCTGTGCCTACCAAGCGGTGTTACTAGACTTCGCCGTCTTTTACTCGCCATAGGCTCTTTTATGCAAACGCTTAGGACTCGTCCAGTCTCACCAATGTAAAGAGCTCTGCAGCTGAAGATTGTATTTGATCTACGATTTCCGCTTTTTCGCAGTCGCCTATTTTTCCATGCGGGCATACTACGCGGTGATCTGATATGCACTCTCGGTCGTAAAGCCTGTTTCTAACGAGCTGCTTCTTGAGATTGTATTTGAAATGCTTATCAAATTTACTTCATTCTCCAGTTGCGCTCGAATTATGCACTGACGGAAAGGCAGAATTAATTTTGTCCGAGACGGAAGACACAATGGAAGTTTGTTTCAAATGTTGCTGCGGCTAGTGTGGTCATTGCATTGAGAAACTGTATGGTGCAATGAATACCCGTTGTTGCATGCTATCTTCGATGCTAAATTTTGCGATTCGTGGCGTTCATCCTCGCCGGAGCACACCTTTGCAGCTATTCTAAACATATTTCCGATTACTGCCCTTTTCACGTGTGTAGGATGTGCTGATCTTGCATTTATGAGGATGTTTTGCTGCCCTCATTGCGGTACCATTTCATTCTTAGAATGCCTTTGGATAAATTGAGTTGCGTGCTCAAAAATGGCATCCAACCGTTCTGTGGTTGTTCGCGCGTGAATCTGATGTATTGCGACTGTTGATTCAATATCGACTCTCGTCCATCTCGGAGTGTGTTACACTTATTAGACAACAGCGTCAATGTAGCGACAATACATCAGAGGCATTCGTCTTAGCACTGGTTTCCTCGATTCTGCTCATAAAGCACATAGCGAGGGTCTGTGCCAATCTTTGACCCATGGCTAGTCCGCGTATCTGGGAATAATAATTTCAGACCACTTAAAGATATTACAGTTCAAACATTCGTTAGCCAGGGTCATTACTCGCACTCTACTAAGGCCAAACATGTCAATCGAACCAGCGTATTTGACTAACAATTCCGATGATGCTGGCAGAGCCTGATCGTTTTGAACATTAGTGTAAAGAGAGGTCAAAAGGACTCTATCACACCATGTGCATCAAGCTTGGTATTTCGGATTCCTTACAAATTTCATCGCATTTAAAAGATTAGCTGGTATTTTTGGTAGCAGCTGAGTCACTATTTTATTCAAAAACCACGAGATCCGGTCAGTAGGGCCTCCTACGCAGCTAATAATGGGTCTGATCCTACACGTTTCCGCCGACATCGATTGTACATCTTGCAAGGAGAGCTTATGTGTTTTGATCAAGCTGTAAAAGACTGGGCAATTTGAACATTCTTCTTTCAATCTAGTGATAAATCTGTCATCAAGTCCGGCAGACTTTCCTACTGCAGCCCATACATCGTCAAGTCTTCTAGCTTGCGTATGAAACTCTTTCTCAGATGCTGGTCTGTATAACGAAGTGTCTGCGAGATGCGCTAATGCAATTTGTCGATCTAGGCTTTACGGTATTATCACGAAGTCTCTACCTTTGTCGCTAATAGAAAGACACACTGAACCTTCAGTTCGCGCACTTAAAACCTTGCCATTGTTTCAATGTTAGATTCCCTTGCTGTTGTTGTCTGAACTTGTTCAAAATTTTGAGTATGACAGAGGATAAGATGCGAAACTTAACGTCGACATCTCTCACGGGCTCAGGCTGCCTATAAAATGAGCGAGGGAATGGGGCTGTTGGAATATTAGGTTGTTGCAAAAATAATGTTCGTTTTTCTAGACCTATATTCCAAACAACTTTTTTCCCATCAGACTTTCTTTTTCGATACAGCTTCTACATATCATTGGAAAGCTCTCTTCATGTACTTTCTCAAGGCGGTGGAATTAAGCTTTCCTCACTTATGAGAATTTCACCAGCATTTTCCATATCCGCACTCAAAATCAGAATCTCATAGCTTCCACTTTCTTGACCACAATTCAAGAGCAAATAAACGAATTCTTCTGAAAACATAGCAAGTGCATTGGATGAAGATTGTTTACCCACTGCATGCTTATGTAGTTTTTTGGAGATATGTGGACTGAGAAATTGAGCGTCGAAATAGACACTCGCTGCTGGAATTCTATGGGTCAGAAATTTCTCATAATTAAGGCAATCGCCAAAGCTTCGCCGATTTCTGTAAGCTTGGAATTAGCACACCTTAACTACAATATTTGAAATGAAACTTAGCTATTCAGTGCGCGAAAAATTCCAAATTTTATAATTAGGCGCTTACAAGCCTGCAACAAATAGGCTCAAAAGAGTGAACATTTTTAAATTTTTATCTTTTCTTTTCGCAGAACTCCTTCGCTGGAGTTTTTTCTAAACACACGTATACTATTGGCCTGCGGCTACAAAATAAGCTAATTAGCAGACATAGAGAAAAAGCTTGAAGGGTGTTGTAAGCTCTTGAAGACAAGGTTCTCAAGAGAAAAACTTTCAGTTTTCTGATGCATGGTTTTCTTCTCGTTTGCGATATCAGTATAGGCAGGGGCGCGCTAAGTTAAGAAAGATTTGATGTTTCTGATGGTCTTGACTTCATTCAAAAATATGGACACTGAACGATATAGCCTTCCAAAGTGAAAATTTGCAAAACGGACATTATTTTTGCAACAACCTAATAATTTCCTCGTCTCATGCGCAGACGCTTGTAAATAGTCGCAGTCGCTTTTTGCTCTAGTTCTGAGAGAGTCTCGAAGTCTATGTAATCCTCCAACTACTTTCCTACACGTTATAGAATTGATAGACTGAGCCGGTGAAAACGATGGACCCAGGCTGAGAAGGTCAATGACTTCAGGCCTTACTTGAGTGGTGCCGATAACAGTAACTCTCGCCGCTGTATCCTTATTAGAAGAAAGATGGTTAGAGCGGTAGTTGGATTGGTTACTTACGGTGTGCATACGATTTTCACGAAGACCACTTAGAAGTAGGTCGTACTGACTAAGAGTTTTGACTTCGCGCTAGATCGATCAAATCACAGATCCTCTTTGAACCGTCCTTAATCTTCTCCCAAGTTCGACTAGGCAAGAAACGTTCACATGCCTGCTCTTTTACATCACAAAGGTTGAATAAAATGACTGCTTTTTTTCTCTGATAACATTATTCAAAATTGAATGGTATATGTTCACAATCTTCGAGTTATCTTCGGGAAGGCCACACCTAGCTCCTATCTTCCTATCTCGAATGAAAGCAGGTAGGACACTGCTTCGTTTGCATCGCCTTAGGAAGGTCAGGGACTGCCTGGCATTCACCGCTTTTTGGCATAGCGATAAAGCTTCTGAGTCAAATGGAACAGGTGCGGCGGTACGTCTTCTAATAAAATCAATGTTCCATGTTCTTTGAACCTTGGCATTGTTGTAATCTTTCAATTTTCTTATGTCATACAAGATTTGTTATAGTGGCAGCTTTATTCAATCGGCCTTACGTTTCAACGGGTTCGTCTTCCTCAAAGGCCTGGAAAATTCAAAGCATAATCTGCAACACCATACCACCAAACGTTCCATCAAAATCTTGCTAGTTTCGGCGTCGTTCCAAATGTACTCCACGAAAATGGCGACACGGAGATGAACCTACCTGCACCAC